ATTAATACACCAAATATATATATTTCCCCCCTGCAAATTGAAGTTGACCTACAACCACAGTATCAAGCAAATGAAAGTCAATGTGGCCAAATTATGGCTCTAATTTGCTAAAATTAATTTGATGTTCAAGCATATTCTAGCCATTGACATTCTTAATGTCGTTTCAAGCTACTTGCGAGTATGAGAATAAAAGCATATACAGATTGTAGTTTTAATTAAATCCCTTATTGAGATGAGGGACAAGTTTTTTTTTTTTTTTCCTTTTTTTTTCGAAGGACGATCCATATTCTTCATTGCCATCACCACATTTAAAGGGATATATATTGGAAACTGCAAAGAAATTCGAACCTAACCATATAATCGTGCATTTGAATACCTCCCCAATAGTCTACTATTGATATTTAAAGCAAGTAATTTGTATATTTCTATGAACTTTTGAAGCATTTCATATCGTTTCGTACTACTATTATTTTTGAATCCCCTGTCAGATATGTCTACTTAAAGTGCCTCTATGCATATTTTCACAATTAAGAAAAAGTTTTACCATTCAACATACTCTTCAACATGTAGATGTTATGCATGAGGATGCACAAATGCAGAGTCACCAAGACTTTGTATCCTTTGACTTCCATTGAAATTCATTTGTGATGCTCAGGTGGCCCTTTTCTAGAATTTAAAAAGATTAACATATAATGCAGGGGGTGTCATTAATATACAATTATGAAATGATTTTAAAGAACATATTTGTGAAGGACAGAGAAAATAGCGACAATTAGAGGAGACTGTTAAAAGCGAAGGTATTTCTAGCACATTTCAATCTTTCATGTAATTAGCTATGAATTGGAAGTCTTTTTGTCCTTTAATATGTAATAACATAACTCTAGTATTAGAACCAAATATGATTTCTATAACCACAGATTAAAACAGCGAAGCTTTGAAACCACATAAAGACTTAGATTTTGGTGTCCTCTTCTTGATTGCCATCTTCTTTTTTTTTTTTTCAGTGTATCTGATTCTTTATTCTGTATTGGGTTTTGTCGTCAATTGGCAAGGGAGCATTGCAGGGTTTGAGTCATGAAAAAAGTCTTGAAGACGTTGATCAAATACCAATACAATCTAAAAGAACAATTCTGCATCAGATTTATTGCAAAATACATATATCATCTGAGGAAATACTTCCCTAGTATGAAGACATTTACAATATAAGGTATCCAATAAGAACATGGTGCAAGCAAGATTAGTTACCTGTTATATGTCTCCTTGTTTCCTTCTTTTCAGAAAGGGAGGGCAATAAAGGAATTTCTGTTTAAGTGTAGCATTCGATAGTCTTTTTCCTTTTCTGTTAACCTTTTCCTCTGTTGACATACAGTAGCCTCTTCTTGAGTTACTGATGTTTTTCATGAGAATTTTCATCTCAGCTACATTCTAGAATATTATAACCCCACAGGAAGATGGCAATTTTGATTTTAACACCATTTCACCAGAATGTTTGGAAATAGATATCTTTCCCCCCCTACATAGTATCTTTCCCTATGCAGATCGGATACCATCACTTTTGTGACTGCGAAGACTCATAGTTTTATTGAAACAATGAGCTCCACGCTACATATCTGCTTGAAAATAGTGTTTTTGAGTCTCAAATGTATGTTCACTTATCTAGATGCATTAGTTATATTAAGATATTCATACTTTTCTATAAGACAGATGAACATATACCTGAAGCTGGATAATGTGCGCAGCTTGATATTCAGTCAATGGTAATATTTTTACAAGAAAATATGGCAATTCAAAGTATGTATATACACAATAAATCTCCAATTTAGCTTCAAAATTATCAACCACCATTGAAGCTAACTTCCATTAGGTCTCACTCGTCACTACTATATTATCAACTCGTTGGCAATTCAAAGTTATTGGATCAAATACCAGAATACAAACAAAACAACACAAAGAAAGACAGGTAGACATAGGACGAACACATTCATATGCATAATGCACAAAATATCTCATAGAAACATGAGTACATGATAAAGACCAACTTCCTTGTTTCAGATATACAAAAGGAACCGACAACGAGAACAATGTCAATAAAGTGAGAAAATATGGTGTGCCCGGAAACCGAAGTAGTATCAGAAGGATCGGTATTGGAACCATATATACAGCATTCTCGGCTGTATTATTTACTTTCTAGATCTCCTTCCCTCTTGTTTGCAGCTGTTAGGAATTTAACGCCTAAACCCCTAATGCAACGGAAACGCGGTATAGAAAAAGTACACCAAGATTTAACGAGGTTCGGCAACTGCCTACGTCCTCGGGAGCCACACAGATAATTTTCTTATTAATCAAATAAGAAATTACAATTTAGGAGCGTATCTCAAAACTGAGATTTCTCAGATAAACACTGTAGCTACAGTGTTAATAATCAAAGGGTATGAACCCTTTCAATTCTCAACTGAGAACAAATACCCCACAATTCAAAACCCCTAATTAATTCCCTCTCTCTCTTCTTAAATCCCCCTCAACTAAACTGTTGAAAGCTGGGGATTAATCATAAAATCGCAGCTGCGATTTGGGGGGGGGTTTTCCGTCGCCGCCAGGGAAGAAGTCGGAGGAGAGGGGGAGAAGCACAGCAGCGAAACCCTAGGGCCAAAGGGGGCTTTTATAGGCGATGATGAGGGGCTGGCGACAGCCTGTCGCCAGCGAATAACCCAGACGCAAAGGTCGGGTTCGCCAAACGCAGAGCTCGGCATCGCCTAACGCAGAGCTCGGAGGCGAACGCAGAGCTCGAGGGGGGTTCGAAACGCAGAGCTCAGGCTTCGAGCTTCGTAGGCTGGACTACCGGAGCTCGCCTGCGACCATCGAACTCGTCGGAGCTCGTCGGAGCTCCTCTTCGCCGGCGGAGGTTTGTTTTCCACCCCCAATTCTAACACACTGGCCTCGTGGAACGACTCTGTTCATTTCTGTCGATGGCAAGGCATCACTTGTGGTGGCTTCCGACATCCTCAAAGGGTCGCATCCTTGAACTTGAGCTCCCTCGATCTTGTTGGAGTTATTTCGACGGCCATAGCTAACCTCACATTTCTTAGGGAGATTGATCTGTCGGACAATCAAATTAATGGATCCATCCCACAAGAGATTGGTCACCTTTCCAGATTGACACATCTTGACTTGAGTTCGAATTCTCTTGAAGGAGGTATTCCTGCTTCACTCTCTCACTGTTCAAAATTAGAGGTACTTTTTCTGCGGGATAACAAGCTCCAAGGTGAAATTCCAGTCAGTCTCAGCAATTGCTCCAGCCTACAGGTCCTAAATTTAAAAAACAATAGCCTCACAGGACGTATACCTTCTTCATTAACAAGTCTTTCCTTGCTTTCTGGTCTATCTATGGCCGGAAACAAATTATATGGCGGCATCCCGCATACCATTGGAAACCTCACCTCTCTAACCGTACTTTATTTGAACAATAACAGCCTTAGTGGCAGCATCCCATCTAGCATAGCTAACCTCACCTCTCTAACTGTACTTTACTTGTACAATAACGAACTCACTGGCAGCATCCCACCGAGCATAGGGAATCTCATTTCTCTTACTAGCTTTGCACTTGATACTAACCAATTATCAGGAAGCATACCACACTCCATCGGTAGGCTTTCTGAAGTAAAAGAACTTTCTTTGTCAGCCAACAGCCTCTCTGGAGGCGTACCACCTTCACTGTGGAATCTCTCTTCTCTTTCTCATCTATCTATGTCATTTACCTATCACCTATCTGGGTCACTCCCACCAAACATAGGCCAAGCTCTTCCTCTGCTTGAAACATTTTACCTGGCCTTTAACCAATTCCACGGACCAATCCCAATGTCATTGTCCAATGCATCTCGTCTTCAAAACATTGATCTTTCTGGAAATAGCTTCAGTGGCGTAATCCCTCCTAGCCTCGGACGTTTACGAGAGCTGCAATCACTAATTCTATATAGTAACCACTTGGAAACCATGACACCTGATGGATGGAATTTCCTAACCGCGTTGACCAATTGTACCCAGTTGGAGTGGTTGACCCTAGCGTCAAATAAGCTTAGAGGCGTGCTACCAAATTCAATCGCCAACCTTTCCACCAATCTTCAGGGTCTATATATGGATAATAACTACATCTCTGGAAAAATATCTTCTGATATCGGAAACCTCGTAAACCTTATGGTGCTTCGTATGGATGGAAACTCGCTTTATGGCTCTATTCCTTCCAGCATCGGGATGCTTCGGAACTTGCATGCATTGGATTTGGGCAATAACAAGCTATCTGGAGAGATTCCATCTACCATCGGCAACCTTACTCAATTGAATGAACTTTATCTAGATTCCAATGAACTAAGCGGAAATATACCAGTAAGTCTGGGAAAGTGCCAAAACCTAATATATCTAAATCTTGGATCTAACAAACTTACGGGTAATATACCCAAAGAAATAGTCTCCATATCTGGACTCTCCATATATTTAAGTTTGGCATCCAATGCACTGTCAGGGCCAATACCATCTGAAATCGGGAGCTTAATAAACGTGAATATATTAGATTTCAGCATGAACAAATTGTCCGGTGAAATCCCTATCACTCTCAGTAAGTGTCAAGTGCTGGAGGAACTTTATATTGGTGGAAATCTCTTTCAAGGAAGTATTCCTTCTTTTTTAGCCTCGTTAAGAGGCATCCAGAAGCTCGATTTTTCAAAAAATAACTTGTCGGGAAAAATACCTGATTTCTTACAAGATTTTCATGGCCTAGACTATTTGAATCTCTCCTTCAATAACTTTGAAGGTGAAGTGCCACTACTTGGTGTGTTTGCAAATGCAAGTGCAGTTTCAGTTATTGGAAATAGTAAGCTTTGTGGAGGGACTGAATCTAACACCCAAGATTCCTCCTTGCTCTCCAAAGAGCATATCAATGCGTCGTCTCCTCCTGAAGTGGAGGTGACATTCACCTCTGCCTTCGCCTCCTTCTCCTTCTGTGCACTCTTGCACTGATTCTTGTAATGCCCGGTCTTTCCACAATTCCAACACTCGATAGCCTTCGAGCTGTTGCTTGGATTCCTTGATTTGGACCTCCTGTCCTTTGATCTACCTCTGAAGTTTGATTTTCCTCGTCCGTTTCCTCTGGTTGAATTTCTACCTCTTGACTCTGTATGCAATACTGAAGAGGTTGTAGCTTCACCCGTTTCTCTCCGTCGGATCTCCTCACTGAGAACCAAATCACGAACGTCGTCGAACTTCAACTTTTTCTTTCCCGACGAGCTACTCACAGCTGTGACTGTAGCGTTCCAACTCTCTGGTAGGGAAGACAAAAGTATCAACGCCCGAACTTCATCATCAAATTCAATCTCAACTGAACTCAATTGGGTTGTAACCGTATTAAGTTCATTGAGGTGTTGTGCTACTGACGCGCCTTCCGCCATTTTCAGATTGAATAACCGCCGCATCAAATGAACTTTGTTCGCGGCTGATGGCTTCTCATACATGTTTGAGAGTGCTGCCATAAGACCTGCCGTGGTCTTCTCCTTCGCTATGTTGAACGCAACATTGCGAGTCAACGTCAATCTGATAACTCCGAGGGCTTGTCTATCTAGAAGGTTCCACTCATCTGCCTTCATGGAATCTGGCTTCTTCCCCGATAGTGGTTGATACAGATTTTTCTGATACAGATAATCCTCTATCTGCATTTTTCAGAATCCGAAATCTGTTCCATCAAATTTCTCAAGTCTCATTTTTGCCTCATCTGTGGCCATGGCTCCCACTTGAATCTGACTTGTTCTAGATCGTTTCACGCTCTGATACCAGTTGTTAGGAATTTAACGCCTAAACCCCTAATGCAACAGAAACGCAGTATAGAAAAAGTACACCAAGATTTAACGAGGTTCGGCAACTGCCTACGTCCTCGGGAGCCACACAGATAATTTTCTTATTAATCAAATAAGAAATTACAATTTAGGAGCGTATCTCAAAACTGAGATTTCTCAGATAAACACTGTAGCTACAGTGTTAATAATCAAAGGGTATGAACCCTTTCAATTCTCAACTGAGAACAAATACCCCACAATTCAAAACCCCTAATTAATTCCCTCTCTCTCTTCTTAAATCCCCCTCAACTAAACTGTTGAAAGCTGGGGATTAATCATAAAATCGCAGCTGCGATTTGGGGGGGGTTTTCCGTCGCCGCCAGGGAAGAAGTCGGAGGAGAGGGGGAGAAGCACAGCAGCGAAACCCTAGGGCCAAAGGGGGCTTTTATAGGCGATGATGAGGGGCTGGCGACAGCCTGTCGCCAGCGAATAACCCAGACGCAAAGGTCGGGTTCGCCAAACGCAGAGCTCGGCATCGCCTAACGCAGAGCTCGGAGGCGAACGCAGAGCTCGAGGGGGGTTCGAAACGCAGAGCTCAGGCTTCGAGCTTCGTAGGCTGGACTACCGGAGCTCGCCTGCGACCATCGAACTCGTCGGAGCTCGTCGGAGCTCCTCTTCGCCGGCGGAGGTTTGTTTTCCACCCCCAATTCTAACAGCAGCATCACTGAGGTTTTTTCCTTCTTCAATCTGTCTGCATTCTATATACTCGAAACAAACTTAAAAAGCATTATACTTTAAGCCAGAGGCAGGCTTTGATTGCATAGAAATGAGGGCCATAGTTTTTCATTAAACTAATAAAATGTTGATAGAATGCTTATTTTATGATATGCACTCCATATCATGTGTGTAAATGTATAGATTACTATCTGCCTCAAAATTTCCATCTAATTAGTATTCTGCAAGTAGAGAATAACATACCCAATTTAAGCTTACTATTAGCACAATGACAACTAGATAAAAGTACTAATAGAAGAGATATAGGTCTAGCATGAGAGATAACAGCCACTTAGACTAGCCAAGGTGATTGCCTATAAACCAACATTAGGATCTCAATTTGTCCATAAGCTACTAAAATTAAGATCTCAATGAGGGTTTAGGCAAATCATCCTTGGCTACCCAAGCCAGGCTCTTATCTTCATGTAAGGCCTCTCTTCCACTCTATTGCCTCTTGTTGATGTTGCGATAATGCTTGTTTCAAATGGCTTTATAAATAGGGAGGGTTATATGCTTGTACGAAGCCCATAACATTATCCTATAATACAATAATATGTCCTGGCCCCCCATAAAGAATTTATTCTCATGATCTAAAGAGACTCTCAAGCTCACAATCTTCTTAATGGATAAGATGATAGAGTTGAGTAAATAGTTGCATTTTCCGCGTTATTGACCCATAAAGGGGTAGTTCAAAAGCTTTCTCCTTTCTTCATCGAAAGCAATCAGTAAACGGGTGAATTAATTATTCCACTAGTAAATCATTTAAATTCTCCTATTCCAACAAAAAGTGAGTATAACTAATAACCAAATTTTTTTCATCTTGCAAATTGACTTTGACCTATGTTCAAAATTAATGTGGCCGAGTTCTGGTTCAGGTGTTGATGGTGTGCTGAAATCATTTCGATGTTCGAGTATATTCTTGTCGTTGACTTTCTCGATGTTTACTTTCAGCCTACTTGTGTATGAGAATGCAAGCATATAAATTCTTGCTTTGTTATAGATTTATCCATCTTATAATATTCATCTGTTAGGCCAGACAACTTTTTTCGTAGTTTCTTTTAACTAAACCAAATCTAGGCTTTCGATTTTGGAATTAAATTCTAGTGATGAAATGTCATTAAGATACACTGATAAGCCCCATGCATGTGCACATGAGCTCTAGGATGCACGCACGTTCAGAGTTATGGAGATCTTTAAAGTTTTCAGAATATTTACCTAAAAAAGAAAAAACCTTTTTTCAGCATTTAAAAGGATTACACATGATTCAGGATATGTCATTAAGATACAAGGTTAAAATTTTATTGTTAGGAAACCTATCTCGGAGAAGAGGACAACAATATCATTAGACTGTTCATCAATCAATACAGAACAATTCATATAAACTTTTGTTTTCTACTGTTTTCTTCTTAATTTCCACCATCATTTGGTAGGGGATATGATTTTGTTTCTACTCCATTGGATTTTTTTTATTTTTTTTTTAGTTTTCTTGATTGATCAGGAGGATTTCATGGTTTGACTTTGCACTTATATAGCCTAAGTCTTTATTGCTAAATGTTGGAATTTCCCCATATATAAAAACTTCCACGTCACTTGCAAATGGTAAAATTTGGTGAATCATATCTCTGAAGTTGATTGAATCAACTAAAAACGGGAATAAAAACTAACCTTATGAGAGTAATTTACTTCAAGTTACCAATTTTAGGGGTTTAATTGACCAATTTAATTTTATCGATCATGTGCAAATCACAAAATTTGAAGAACATTGATCAAATACGCCTAACATCTAAAGAAACGCTTTCAAAAATTCTGCACAAGGAAGCAAAAACACAATACGAAGACATGTAGACTCATAGTAGGACATGCTGATGAGGTACTTAATTTGGTTGAAGAAAATTGTATGGATTGAAACAAGCACAAATTAAGGGCATCAAATAGCCGACAGACAGTATTTTCATGAGAATGGCTTCTCAAGATGCATGCATGGACAATTATTAAATAACATAATAGTATAATTATTTATTGAAGTGCATGACTATTTTATCAATTATTTTATTGTAGTATATTTTCTTGATTTAATAATAATTATTATTATGCACAGTAATTTATTCAATAATTATTCTATATTATTTTATTATGATAATAAATTATTTATAATAAGTTATGACCTATTTTGTAGTTGTTCTTATTATTATAAATTACTAATTCTATTCTAGTAAATGATCAAAGTTTTTGAGAATGTGAGGATATGCATAGTTAAAAAGAAGTTATGGGTGATCAGAGAAAGATTAATCACACATAATAAGCATCATTAGAAATTACCAAATTGAGGTTAATTAAAGTTTTACTTGTGCTTGATCGGATCCAAACATGCCGGTTTTAGTTTAATAGACGTTTTAATCTAGATTATCTCAATTACAGTGCTTGTTGGATGCAAATCAAAGCTAAATTTGCTATCTTGATCTGTGTTTTTCTAACCGATTATTCCTTTTATGAACTAGGGTATCAAAGTCGAGATTGGGGTAAATTTTGGGGGTAGTTAAGTGTACATACACTGCTAAATAATGAGGTATCCTAGATGGAAAATTCCGTCTAGGATACCCAGAATTCCGTCTAGAATGCTTATTCTAGACGGAATTCCGTCTAGAATACGCGTCTAGTATGTTTCCGTCTAGGATGTAGTATTCTAGACGGAAATTCCGTCTAGAATACATCCTAGACGGAATATTCTAGACGAAAATCAAAACCGTCTAGAATACATCCTAGACGGATTATTCTAGACGGAATTTCCGTCTAGAATAATTCATCCTAGACGGAAAAAAATTCCGTCTAGAATGAGTATTCTAGACGGAAATTTCCGTCTAGAATACTCATTCTAGACGGAATTTGATGTTTTTTAATTTTTTTTTTTTAATTTTTTTTGTTAAAAAAGGCATCCTAGACGGAATTTGAGCATCCTAGACGGAATTTCCGTCTAGGATACTATGCTACAGTTTTTTTTTAGGATCTACTTTGGGTGCATGTACACAATATTGAACAACAAAAAATTATATTCATATCCAACACAATCTAATTATATTCCAATATCAAATCCCATTATATTCGAATGTACCAAATTTTGCATAAATCATTCTTAATCCGGTTCAAAAAATACATTGACCAAAAAAAATTAGAAAGATACATAAATTATTTACAAGCATTCCCCGCTTCTCACACTCTTGCTCCAAATATGATACTAAGTTTAAGTCCCTCGAATCTGGGACTTATCCCATTCAGAAACTCCTTTTAAGACTCCTATTAATTTGCCTGAACAACATTCGCTGATCTCGCCACATCCACCAGAACTGAGTGATCGATAACAAGATCAACAGGTACCTGTGTAAAGAAGATGTTATGCCTCACATATCTCCGTTGGCATCTTTGGCAGTTCTTTGTTTCAGAGTAAACCTATGCAAATAATAAATCATGAGATAAGGGAAGCACTAGCAAACATAGATAATAAAACAACATGATTATCATTCATTAATCGCAGAACCAATACTTGAAATTGATGCGTCTACGCTAATCAACAGCATATGAATAAATTCAAGCCATTTGTTTACCTATAAAGGAGTTACGATTCAGATTCCATGAATTCAATCCCAGCAATCTGACACCAGAAAAACTACAGATGATCTTAAAAACGTACATAATTCCGTCAGCAAGCAGGACAGGGAAGAAATGATATTTCCAGTAACATGTTGAACAAACTGATTGTCAATATTCAAGAAGGACACCTGAAAATAGTAAAGTCAACATAAGGAACAAAATTTGAACCAAGCAACAATATATTTGAATCTTAAATACAAAAGCAAAGCATATAACAAATCCAAAAGCAACAATATATTCAATATATTCAAGAAGGACAGGTCTACATTACAAAGAAACTAACACATCCCAGAAGCTAAATCGGCCAATTGCTCACTAAGATCACATTCACATAACAATCCTTGACCCATCATTTGTTTCATCATTTAACATAAGAAGTAGACAACTCGCTAAACTCAAACGAATATATATATAACTATTCAGCACAACTATATGACCGAACTGATTTAACTACAAAGTTCAACACACAAGTCACAAAACCCATGACAATCAGAATGAAGAACAGCAAAAACTACCTCTTCCTGTGTCTCTTGGATTCATTGTGCGCTACCATCACAGCCTCGCTAGAAAAATATCGACTGCAGAAACAAAAAACAAACAAATATCAGAATTTTTACCCCAAAAACAAACAAAAAACAAAGAAACCCTAAATCATTGAGAAAATTCCAATTACTCGCAATGGAGGCAATAGAATTGACCCATTCCAGGGAGATCCTCATCAAGCGGCAATTCTCAATCGTAAACCGCATCGTCACGTGATCGTCGACGAAGAGCTCTCTAGGTTACAGAAATCAAATAAAAAACAAACAAATCAAGCAAAAAAACACAGCAGAGATCAACTATTGGCCAATTCTCAATCCGTCGAGAGGCCGCGTGGCAGGCCTCAAGCAGGGAAAAAAAACCCTGATGAATGCAGAGTTCAAGCAAAATGTATCAAGAGATTTTAGTACTATATGAAGACCTGAGGAATGCTTGGAGATGAAAAATATTGGATGCAGAGTTCAAGCAACATGTATCAAGAGGACGATGTTGATGGAGTACAAAAGGGTCAACGTATGGACTCTTGGGTCAATAATTTTTGCACCTATGCTTGGCAACGAAAATATGAACCTGATAATAATCTGTTCAGACGATTCTATCTTCAAAGTGAGTGACATAATTTCTAAAATCAACTCACAATGGGTTAACTTGTCTAACTATTATTTATCAAACTATTACAAATAATTATGAAATCGATTCAACTTTACAGCTAAATAACCGTCAACGAACATTCACATAAGCAGTTAGTTGCGATATTATATTTATCTACGAGTTACCAAATTTGAGCTGGCAGAACAAAGATGCAGGCGAATGTTCGTGAAACCAAATCCAACAAATAAATGCTAGCTTCAGAAAAGAAACACCAATGGCTCACTACCAGGTCCAATTTTTCCCATTTCAGTAACATTTATGCCAGAATTATTACATCTATTTATATTTCTTTGATACCATCACAAAAGAAAACCCTGAGGCAGACACATTTCCATGTGAAATTTAGACGAAATTACCTCCTTTTCGCCAGGGAAAACATCTTTGATCGGCAACTCACCTTGGGACATTAATCCCATCCCGGCCAGGCGAAGGCGAGGATGATGCTGAGGGCGGCGGAGCCCTCGATTGGAGGGAGCCAGAATTGGAGGGCGCGCTTCTCTTTTCTGGAGGAGGAGGAGGAGGAGCTGGAGCTGCCGGCGGCGAGGAGGTGGATGGCTTTGAAGATGAAGAAGGAGACGGCGGAGGAGGGGACTCGCGAAGGGGAGGTCGGAGTGGAGGGGGGTCTGACCGGAGCGGTCGAGGGATGAAGGAGCCCGTAAGGGGGGTTCCTTCCTCTTTCGATTTGGGGGGAAAGAAGGGGGGCTGGGTTTTGACGCCTTAAATTTTTTTTTTAAATTTTCACGTATCATGGACGGAAATTTCCGTCTAGAATGTATCCTGGACGAAATTTCCGTCTAGAATAACTATAAATTAAAAAAAATAATAAAAATAAAATAACCGTCTAGGATACTATTCTAGACGGAAATTTCCGTCTAGAATATTTTATCCTAGACGGAATATTCTAGACGGAAATTTTCCGTCTAGTTTAATACATTCTAGACGGAAAAAATTCCGTCTAGAATATTCCGTCTAGAATACGTGGTTTTCTACTAGTGATATCCTCCAAAATATAACAAAGTGTTGGGGAATCCGAAGCAATCAATCGGATCCTTGCCCTTCCGGACCTTGTGTTGAAAGTAGAAAAATAGAAAAATAGCACAAATAAAGATCTAACCTTGCAAAAAATAGTAAAGGAGACGAACACACAGATTTAACGAGGTTCGGCAACGTGCCTACGTCCTCGGGAGCCACACCACATAATTCTTTTATTAATTAAAGAAGAAATACAAGCTCTCAAACTAGGGTTTAATCTCTCTGAGATTCTCTCTCTTTTTAGTCAAAAAGCTCTCTTTTTTCGTGTCTTTTAAACCCTAAAAATGTTTGGGGTATATATAGAGTCCTGGTAGAAACAGAATCCAAAACAGTTTAGGAAACTGTTTGACTGTGTCGCGGTCGACCGCGCAAATTCCAGAGAGTTGAGCGGTCGACCGCGATGGTCAACCTCGATCAGACGACAGAAGCTCCTCAGATTCCAGAGAGTTGAGCGGTCGACCGCGGTGGTCGACCGCGATCAGACTCAGTCTCTTCTCAGCCTTGTGCATGTTCGCGGTCGACCGTCGCGGTCGACCGTGGATCTGTCAGGTCGTTTTCTTCGTCGTTTTGATTTTAGCTCTCGTCTCAACTTTGGGTCTACACTTTAGACTAACACAAAGAGGGTGAAGATCTGGGGGATACATGATG